AGAGAGAGAGAGAGAGAGATTCAGACAGACAGTCAGACAGACACCTTTGCTTTCCTTTTTTTTTCTCTTTCCGGGGGCTAGCTCCCCAGCATCCAGCACTGATGTGGACTTGACCCAGGGATCAGTGCAGACTGCCCAGCTCTCCTGTTCTTGCCAGATCCAGGCTTCCCAACAACATGGAGCACAAGAATCCTGATAAATCACCAGGTGGCGCTACCTCTACTTCTCTCTTCAGGCGCCGCCCAGGCTCACCTTCCAGCCCTGAAGTGCAGACAGAGGCTGAGGACAAGCTGAGCAGCAGCCTGAGTGGCTCTTCTTCCCCTGCATCTGACAGCAGTGAGTGTGGGCGAGCTGGAAGGGCTTTATTGTAGTACAGTTGGCATCATACACCTCATTGACTTACAGTGAGGAATTCTGTGGCTATGGCTATAGTCAGAGGTGTACAAGCTTATTTTCATAACATAACCTCCGTATTTAAATGCAGAGATGCTTTACCACAGCTTCTCTCGGTCTTTTCAGTGTGTGTGTGTGTGTGTGTGTGTGTGTGTGTGTGTGTGTGTGTGTAGATCACAGGATAACTTTTGAGAGTCAGTTCTTTTCTTCCAACTTATGAGGTGATCTCTCCTGTATTTTCTTCCATGCTGCGTCCTTGGGGTTAGCTGGCCCTTCAGCTTCCAGGTGATTCCCCTGTGTTGGGATTCCAAAGGCATGCCACTGTGTTCCCCTTTTCATGGTGTCTTGGATTGAACTCAGATCTCCAGTCTGTGCAGCAAGCATGTTTACATGCAGAGACATCTTGCTGGACTCTGGGTGGTTTGGGAGTCATTTTCTTAGATGTGGGTCAGAGGACCAAATTCAGAGCCTTCCATATGCTAGACAAGTGCTCTGCCAGCCCTCGGGATTTTCATTATAAACACATTTCATCCACTAATAGGGTAATTTGACTTCTTCCTTTCCTGATTATATCTCTCTTTTTCTTCTCTTGTCTTATTTGTCCAAGGATCCAAGCTCTGTATTAAATAATAGTTGAGAGAATGGTCACCCTTGGCTCTATCCTATATTTAAAGGTTACGTAATTTGAGTTATTCCCTGTACAGTATAATGCTGTTGGTAAGAGTATCACAGTACACTGTATTGTGTGCAGATGTGAGCTTTCTCTTCCTGGTTTGTTCAGGGCTGTATTCAAGATTGAATTTATTTTATTGTAGACTTCTTCCATGTCATTCTTATCGTTGATCATGTTATGTGCTGAATTTCTTTATTAATTTGCATATGTTGAATCATGTTTGCATAAAACACATACTGTTCAATCACTATGTATTCTGTTGTTTCTCTTGCAGTTGAATTTTATTCTAATTTCACTATGATCTGATTAAATACAAAAATTACCCCTTGATTTTTTAAATTTGTGAATGAGTGTTCCAATTATTAATATGCAGTTATCTTTATTTTTCCTGACTTTGGCTGGATATCTGCTTTGTCAGGTAGGAGCATAGTTTTTGGAGTCTGTTTGCTTAAATGGCGTTTTCCATCCTTGCACTTTCAGTCTCCACATACATTGCCAGCTGGTTGAGTTTCCTGCTGCAATAAACAGTTGGTTTTTGTTTCCTGCTTTTCAATTCAGCCTGCCAGGTGCATCTTTTACTCCAGAATTGAGACCATTTTTAGTTAGGTTATTGTTAAAATGTTTGTACTGAATGAAATCCTATAATTTGTTGGGCTTATCTTCATCTGGTTTTCTGTTTTGTCTTCAATTGCTGTGTTCTTTTCTTTCTCTCTCATCTTAGAAGTTTGCTGACTCACTGGTAGTTTGCTTTCTACTGATGTGATAAAACATCATAACCAAAGGCTACTCGGGGAGGAAAAAGTTTATTTGGCTTAAACTTCCACATTACAGTCACCACTGCAAGAAGCCAGGTGGCAACTTAGACAGGAACTGAATCAGAGACCATGGAGGAACACGGCTTACTAGTTACTCTGCACAGATTGCTCAGCCTGCTTTTTTAAACATCCCAGGACCCCAAAGTAGTCTAGACTCTCTCACATCAATCATCAATCAAGAAAATGCCCCACAGACTTGCCAATCTGATGGAGGCAATTCCTCAGCTGAGGATTCTTCTTCCCAGATGTCTCTACCATGTGTCAAGTTGACAAAAAGCTAAACAGCACATTTACTGAGTCAGCACTGCTGATTCCTGAGAACTACAGGAGTTATTTTCTCCTGAGCTCTTGGGATTGTAGCTTTCTGTCTTCTTCCTTTGTGATTTTATTTTCCCATGAGTATCTTCCTCGCTGCAACCTCAGTGGTCAGCATTGCTTTAGTTATGTTCATACTGAAGGTCTTTATAAAGGACAAATTTGCTGTAGTCACATTGGTTGTCAGGTCTTTTCTTTAAATGCTCAAAATACATAAGTCCATGTTCTGAACTCCTTACACCTGGAGTCAACTCTGTGATATGGAGCAATCTGAACCTTGAACCATCATATCTTTAACTGACACTGTACCTTGAACCAACTGAATATTTATTGGCCTCCCTGTTCCAAAATAGCTCTCTCTGCTACACATGTATCAACTATGCTTTTCCTTCCACAACTCTGCTTTAAACCTTGCACCTTTCTTGGTGATACCATTTGTTGTTGTGTTCAATGCATTCTGTGATCTGAGAGGCAATATTGGTCATTAGGATTGGAAGGAACCAGTTTACACTTGCCAAAAGCCACACACTTCAGGAAAAGCAAAAGTGCCTGAGAAATGAAAGGCAGAAAAGTTGATGCAGCTTGTGAATGCATTGTTCTTCAATAATTCTGACATGTGGATGACATGAGTGTATCCATGCATGTGTTTCACATGGCATCTCCATGACAATTATAGTAGGGAAATTGGCTCAAACCAGTTGCCAAGGCATACACATAATGTACTCACTCCTTAATGAGCCAACCTGGAGTCTGCCAGAGGGCCTAGCAACAGTCGCTGTCAGAGTTCCTGATCATGCCCAGCCAATAAGGGATGACCAGACAGAATGGGTGCTGGGAGGAGGGTATATAAGGCCTTCCCTTTAGTGAATAAAGGAGTTCATTATTTGCCTTTAACTGACCTGATGTCTGTGCCATTGACAACACACCTTCTCACCCCCTCCTCCGAGGGAGGTTTATAATCCATCAACAGAAGGTGATTGATTCAATGATTTATCCCAGTACTGCTCTGCCATGCAGGGGGAGACAGTGTCAGGTGGAATACCCGAGCTGGATTTAGGCTCATGAGAGTGATGGGTTCCTCCTGACAGCCTGTTGTCACCAGGGCAGCCTCTTTGACCTTGGAGTTGCTGCCCTGGCCTCACACATGCTGAACATGCACTGACTTGTCCTCTCAGGCCCAGGCCAGTGATTCTCTATGTGCTGGTTGTCTTCCGCATGTTCCCCCTCACAGGAGATCTTATTCAGGTCCTTCAGACCCTGTTGTCAAGTCCTGCAGACTTCTTATGCTCTCATGTACCTCTTTGTCTTTCCAACACGGAGCTTCTTTTTTCCTATGATAATTCTCATTCAGAATGGATTTCATTTCAATATCAGTCATGTATTTCTCCTGTTCTCCTTCTTAATCTATCAGTGTTTAAGTGGTTACTAAATGTATTTATTCAAATCCTAATTATGATGGTTTTAAAAATAGATTTTGTGTCTTGTGATAAGAAATCTGTAATTCCTTTCTATCTTTGAATGTAGCAATCAATTGTCATTTTATTAATGATTGCTAATTGAAGTCTGGATTACTTGTGAACCTCTTTCTATGTTCTTACTTTAGGGATATATAATCATGTTTATTGACATGTCTAGAAATTTGCATTTGAAATTTGGGATAATATTTTTTGAACAGGAGAAGCTTAACATTCTTCCAGTAATGTCTGAGTAGAGCACACTGATGTGCCAGAGGCTTGGACCCATAGTTTGGTCTGTCTGAATTCCCAAAGCCTGAGCCTTCTGGACCTCAAGGCACAGGGTTTAGAGCATGCCATTGTTCTGAGGATCCAGGTTTGCCTGGTGACAGATTGCTAATGGTTTTCCCAGGAGTAACAGGGCATCTGGTAGATGTGTTTAGCAGGTTTTGTTTTCCTGCCTTTCCTGGAGTCGCCCTGTACTTTGAGGTTTTAGGTGCTCATGGCAGGAGGGAAGGCAGGAGGGGGCTGGGTTGGCTCCAGTGCTGCTGTCCCTCAGCCCTGGCTGCTCTGGTTGGTGTCATCAGAGCTCTTCACACAGCTGCTCCCACCCTGTCTGCTTTAAGGTGGCTCCTGGAGGAGCCTTGCCTGAGCGGCTGGTCCCTCACAGGCAGGAGCTCACCACCAAGATGTCCGCTCTTAGAAAGAAAACCAGCTGTGTTGAAGATGGTATTTTAAACTGTTTGACAAGCTCATTTCACTAAAGGTCTTACTTTAAAGCAGACATTAATAACCTGTGAAAAGAGACATTTAAAGTTCATTTGTATTCTTTTTCCTTGAAAGTCTTAAGCTGATTAGCTACTGATTTGGTGTCCCTAATTATTGTCATCTTAAAATCTAAGTCTTGCTAGAATTTCGACATTCCCATTCCAGCAATGTTGATGTCATTGTCAGCAGTTCATCTTCTTGGCATCTGAAGATGCCTGATGACCAGAGGTACAGTCTGAAGCTGGAAATATCAGAAATTTCTCCTGATCGCTGTGCATGTCCAACTTATAACCATGTTATATTCCGTAATCAGACACACACATGTACACATACACACAAACACATGCACATACAGGACATGTGTTAATGGTGGTCATGTAGTCTGCATCTGAATTTACATTGTATCACAATATGCTCTTGAAGTAAGACAAATCTGCCCCCTCATCTGTCCCCTTCTTATATTATGAATTATGAATAAAATTTATTCTCTACTCATTAAGGCTCATTTGTTTCTTAGAAATTTGGTGTCTAAGGGAGTCTTATGTACTCAGATATGTCTGCTTCTCATTGGGTTCTTAGGTAATCATAGCCATATGGACTGTTCATCAGGAAGGAATCTGCCTGTGACTGCACAATTTAGAACAATACTGAAGTGTGCTATTCCATGTAATAATGATGTGTGTGTGGACCATCAACTCACTATTGCTATTCCTTCTACAGGAAGGAAGAACCTCTGGAGATGTCTTCCAATAATGACCCTGTTGCAATCCCAATGATAGAAAGAAATCCCAGTGACCTTCCTGGAATGGACACCAGTGACCCGAGCACATTGACTGGAGAGGCTGTGTTGAGTTTTCATAACATCAGCTATCGAGAGACAGTGCAGAGTGGCTTTCCATTTTGTAAAAAAACAGAGGAGAAAGAAAGACTATCTAATGTCAAGTATGCGCATGAACTAAATGTCACAACATTGAACAACTTTTTCAACAAATTGGCTATTATCAATAAGCTGTGTGTGTGTTTGTGTGTGTTCAGTGTGTATATCTGTTTAGTGTGTGTTTAAGTATATGTGTGTACATGTATATATATATATATATATGTTTATATGTGTGTATAAGTGTGTATATGTGTTGACGTGTGTGTATAAATGTATGTGTTTATATCTGTTTACAGGTGCGTATAAGTGTATGTGTGTGTATGTGTTCACATGTGTGTATAAGTGTGTATATGTGTTGACATGTGTATATAAATGTATGTATTTCTATCTGTTTACATGTGTCTATAAGTGTATGTGTGTGTATGTGTTCACATGTGCAGTTGTGAGGACGCTATGACACACCATGGCACAAGGCCATCACAGGACAACCTTGAGCACTGGTCTTCACCTTCTACCATGTTGCAGACAGAGTCTCTTGCTGCTCACTGCTGGGTACGCTGGGCTAGCAGCCTTCAAGAGTCCTGGGATTCTCCTGTTTGTCTCCATCTCTCCACAGAGCATGGAGTTACAGGTGCCCACTACTGTACCCAACATCATGTAAATTCCAGATGTTGAACTTAGGTCCTCCCCCTCACACAGCAAGTGATTCACCCATTGAACCATCCCCCAGCCTCACCTTGTCATACATACAGATACATTCATGATCACAGTGAAATTAATGAGATGGAGACTAAAAGATCAACTTAATGGATTAATGACACAAAAAGTTGGTTCTTTGAAAACACAAACAAGCTGGACAAACCATTACATATATTACACACCAAAAACACCCTGACAAATGATTTTTAATTCAGTAAAATTAGGCATGAAAATATAACACCAAAGATACACTATTAAAATCAACATATGATGAGGGAATATTGAAAATTTAATTAAAATATTAAAAATTTGAATAAAGGAATTGTATATGTGTCTGTCTGCACATGCACTCTCATAACTGAACTGAGAGTTTCTGACAAGCTGTCTGGGTCAGTTACAAGTGATGAGATGGAAGCAATGAGGAAGTCCCAACAGAAGAAGGTACAGGGCCTCATGTATTTGCTCAAAATTCATTAAGAGCTAAGAAGAGCTAAAACCAACATTGTACACATTGTTCCATAACATGGAGAAGCTGTGCTTCTGACCAAGTTCTGAGGACAGAGCACACACACCAAGATTTCCCCTCTCAGTCTGTATAGACTCTTCCTCCCAACCCCAACCATGGTCTTTGTTCTTGGGCACTGGTCATTTCTGCTCCTCCACCAGAACTTCGACCATTTTCTTACTAAGGGGAATGGGCAGGGCAAAAGGTTGACACACTGTCTGGATTGAAATAAGAAATGGGAACGTAGCTAAGTTTTCTATAAGAATATGCCTTTTTCAATCTGGATATTCACTACTGTCAATCAATCAGTTTTCTGACATACCTTGTGTTTATGTTGTACATATACATCCATGAAGAATGTCCTCTACCTGAAGGATATCTCCCAATTCTAAACCGAGAGTATTCTAATTGCTTTATCAGGAAAGGAAAACATTTTGTGGGTTTGTATTTAGCTTTTCTATTTTGATTAAGGGGGCAATTTGTTTTGTTTTGAATGTTAAACTTGGCAATGCTCTCCTGTCTTCTGGAGAGATTCTTTATAGTCTTTGGGTTTCTATTTATGATGCATTGATTTTGGTTTGATCCTATTTTAATAGTAATGACACTGCTACTGATATCCCATGAATAAATGGTTTGTTGTGATGAGGTTTACGAGGCAGCAAGAAGGGCAATATGAAGATACTGATCATCAAACATGAACAAGAAGCTGTTGTGTACTTGACACATAAAGTCCATATGTGTAATAGAGACTTCATGAGAACCTGCTACTTGCTACAAGGAACACTGAACTTAGATGCATCATGTTTTAAAAAGACAAGTCCTTCAAATAATAAACAAATGGATTTTGTGATATCTGAGGCATTTTCCTTGTGAGTCCCCACTAGCATTCAGCATCTCTCATAAACAATTAATTTTTATTAATATTTTAAATATTAATAATATTTAATTAATATTAATATTTTAAAATTTCCTATGAGTTTATATTTATTGTGTGTACAATTATATCCAATTTCAATAGATTACTCAGTGTAGACACTAAGTGAATATAACTTTCTTTAAAATAGACAAATCATTCAGTATGATTTTGTGCTTACAGTGGGATCATGAGACCTGGCCTCAATGCCATCATGGGACCTGATGGGAGCAGATCTTGGTGAGTATAATGGAAAGCACATCTGAGCCCTTTGTATTCAATTACTGTGCTGTAAAATCACTTCCAAAGGTGTTATTTATGTACTGTGTGAGTGTATCTGTGAGTGTATATGTGTGAGTGCATCTGTGAATATATATTTGTGAATATATCTGTTAGTATATATGTGTGATATATCTGTGAGTATATATATGTGAGTATATCTGTGAGCATATATGTGTGAGTATATCTGAGTATATATGTGTGAGTCTGTAAGTATTGTGTGAGTATATCTGTATGTATGTGTGAGTCTGTAAGTACTGTGTGAGTATATGTGTGTGAGTCTGTAAGTATTGTGTGAGTATATGTGTGTGAGTCTATAAGTACTGTGTGAGTGTATATGTGTGAGTCTGGTCCCATGCGCTGTGGATCATGTGCAGGATGGTGCATTCAATTTTCTACCTAGAACAGAAAGTCTTACTAGGTCCACTTTACTGATAGGAAATGATAGAGTGATTGGCATATGGAGTTGGGTCATATTATTATCTAATGTGGGGAAAATAGTATTAAAATTTGAAACATGAAGCAAAGTTTTCTGGGAACGAGAAATCATCACTAGGCCCAATTCTCAAAATCCAGCAGCTCATTATGAGTTTGAGTCTCCAGGTCAGATTGCAGGGAGGGGCGGTCCTGTGGATCATGCCTTGCATTCATAATTCTGAGCTGTGTTAGAGCACACAATGAGCAGAAATGTGTGTGTGTGTGTGTGTGTGTGTGTGTGTGTGTGTGTGTGTGTGTGATATCTGCTAAACTTATGATATACAGAATTTTTATTTTTTGAGTAGCTCAAAGGTGATAGCTTTTACTGAAGGGAGAAAGTAAACTACACAACATATATAACCCTTTGTAGGTTATTGGATGTCTTAGCTGCAAGGAAAGATCCACGTGGATTATCAGGAGATATTTTGATAAATGGAAAACCTCGACCTGCTAATTTCAAATGTATTTCTGGTTATGTACCACAAGTAAGTATTGGTGGGCTTATAATTTTAGATTTCCCCTGCTTATGTATGGTTAGATCCTCAGTTTATAGATTTGTGTGTTTCCATTTAAGTATATGATACATTTATAGTCCCAGCTTTTCCTAAGGACTCATTAGCCTGAGGCTGGCAGTATTGAATAGGAAGAAGGGGGAGGGATTGGAGTCTGACAGCTGTGGTACATTAGTAACTGCAGCTGTATTTAGTTCTACAAAGACTACTGTTGTCTGACTTTGCTGTTCCTTCATCTTTCTCCACTGCTTAGAAGTTGTTTTCTGCAAATAATTGCAGGTAGCAGTCACCTAAATCTCTTGGAAGGCAAATGGGAGGGGGGTGTGAAATGATTGCTTCAGGCTCTGGACTTGAGATTAGTAACACTGAAAGTTTATCTTTCAGTAGAGTATTACATTGTGTGTGGTTTATATGAGGATTAGGTTACATTTGTTGCAATGATTATTTTAGTGATAACTATATTTAATTGAAATACTATTTAACCTTAAGAATGACATGGTGATGCACACAGTGACTGTGAGAGAAAATATAGAGTTCTCAGCAGCTCTTCGACTTCCAATGACTGTAACGAGAGATGAAAGAAGAAGGCGAATTGATGAGGTCCTTGAACTTCTGCATCTGGATGAAGTGGCAAATGTCAAGGTAATGTGAAGAAAAATCTTGAAAGACTTAGAGCCAAGAGAGCAAGACAGAGACAGAGACAGAAGGACAGATAGACAGCCCTGTGTGAATTATATGACCCTCAGTCGGCAGTTTCCTCTAATGTGCGTGGTCCATGTGGCTGCTCTCTGTATTAATGAGTAAGTGACTGATTATGTGATGTAAAGTGGAGATTGAGCTGGGAAGCCTTCTTAGCAATGGTTAAACCTGGGAATAGAGTGTGAACCAGGAGGGAAACGTGTTCCTCACATGGCCATTTCCAAGTTTCCTCACATCAACCTCATCCTCCTCAGCCTTAAACTCTTGACTCATGGAGAATCTGACAAGTGCTTTGAAGATGTAACCAACCATCTTATTAAATAAGAAACACAGAACCAATGTAAAAGAGAAAGCCCAGTGGTCAGAGCTCAGAGCTAAAATCTCACCCTTCCTCCTGTGGTGTCCCAGCTTCCCGAAAGAGAGCTATATCCTATCTGTCCTCTTTTTTTTTTTTTTTTTACAGAATGCAAAAGCAAGGTTTATTCAAATAACGTTTACAAGCCTCAGCAGGGGGGCTCCAAATCTCTCACGCACAGCAGGGAGGTTGGAAGGAGCATGCCCCTTTCTTTGTGAGGCTAGTTCTTTCTTTTTTTTTTTTTAACTTGGAAACATTTCCATATAATGTTTGACACAGAAATCATCAAATAGAAGTATACAATGTTGACAGGAGACAGTACATTTATAGTTTCTAACCCTAAATGTATTTATAAATTAGAAATGGAAAGATCTACAAATGAAATTATGAAGGTTCACCAAAGTCATTTAATCTGTCAGTTTCTCATTCATTTTTATGTCTTA